AAATAATTTAAAACTTTTGTTTGAAAATGAGTGATGCCTTCATTATAACATCCCACAGTGTTGTGTTTATAGGGATTTCAATCTATATTTTTTTATGCTTTTATAAAAGTTTTTCATTTACAGATATAGATAAGGATTTTTCCATTTTATTCCCTAATATGTATATGTATTTTTATTGTTGTTATCATTTTCAAACACTCACATTGGCAGTTGTATTGTTTTTGCTACAAGAGAAATTTATTAAGGGTATTCAGGTAGACATGTAAAAGGCTCGTCAAATGTTTTATACAATTGCATATGAAATTGTATATTTCAGTTGTACAACATTGATAAGTTTATCGCCTCGCAAATTTGAGCAAATTGAGTCGCATAACTCGTAAATATCCTTATTATACTGAACAAACAATCATTTATCTAATGTTTTATTCCACTTTTGTTATTTATTTTCTTTTTATTAACAAAAATTGGAAATTATTAATGAAAATTATTATGATTGTTATTATTATTATTGTATTATTACATATTTGTAAATATTTTTAGGGCTTAAACTGTTAAGTACTAATGGAGCGAGTGAGTGGATGAGTTCAGTTTGTATGTAAACTGTTACAAGAGCTTGGTAAACAAAAAATTAAATTAAGATTAATAATTGTTTGCTTTATTTAGTTGTGTTGCTTTGAAATTGCAAAAAAAAAAAAATAAAACAATTAAGTCCCTTTAAGTACTATTTGCCCAAAAATAAATAGATTGCGGCGTATAGTCATAATTTATTTTGGCTTAAAGTTTTATTTCTATTCCTCCCTCCCTATTAACTCAGAAAATTGCTTAAATCATAAGGCTAGACTAGGAGGTTTGATTTATCTTGGTTGTGCGTTCGTGAAATTTAAGACCCAAAGCCGTAAAACAAATGTTTCCTTTTTCTTCCCTTATACACTTTTCCTCTGTCTTATAATTGTATTGCAGGATTAAATGGCAACCTTCAACCACTTCTCTAGAAGTACATACTTGTAGTATATTAAATCAAATTGATTTAAGTGTCAGATTTTATGTGCCTGTCGTCAGAGTTTGATGTCCTTTCTATTTTAGATTTGTTTTTAAATACAAAATAAAAATCACTGTATTTGGTATATAAAATCCATCAATGTTGTTAGAATTTTCTACATTTAGTATTTTATGACGTAGAAGATATTGTTTTTTGACAGTTATTATTTACGAGGTGCTGTTGGAAAGTTCAAAGTACAATTATAAAAGTAAACAAGTAAGAAATTATAGTCGGGCGAGGCCGATCAATAAATACCCTACACCTTTGACAAAAATATAATGTGATTTATTTGCCATAATAAAGCATTTAAATTGAATTGTACCTTGCCTCAGATATACATACTTAAGCCGTTTATTGTTGAATAAAATTGTGGACATTTAAGTGAAATTTTGATGGGGGCTTTTCATAGGGGCTAGGGTCATATGAGAACCTATTATTATGGAATTCGTGAGGGTCATCAAATCTTGTATAGAACTTGGTTTTTGCAGCTTTTTGTCGAGATATGAGTATATTAAACATAATTATGAACTTAAAAGCCCTATTCGGCGGGTTCAGTTGTATGGGGGCTAGGTGAAATAATAGACCGATGTTAACCATTTTCAATAGCCTTTGTCTCCGGTACCATAGAAGATCATGTGCCAAATTTCATTGAATTATCATCAAAATTGCGACCTGTAGTTTGATTACAAGGTTTACAAGCCCTATTCCAGGGTTCAGTTGTATGGGGGCTAGGTAAAATAATGGACCGATCTTAACCATTTTCAATAGGCTTTGTCCGTGGGGCAATAGAAGATAATGCACCAAATTTCATTGAATTATCTTCAAAATTGCGACCTGTAGTTACATGGACGGACGGACATAGCTAAATCGACTCAGAAAATGATTCTAAGCCGATTGGTATACTTTAAGGTGGGTATAGGACCAATATTATTGTGCGTTACAAACATCAGCACAAACCCAATATACCCTCCCCACTAAAGTGGTGTAGGGTATAATCACTGTATTTGGTATATAAAATCCATCAATGTTGTTAGAATTTTCTACATTTATTATTTTATGACATAGAAGATGTTGTTTTTTGACAGATATTATTTACGAGGTGCAGTTGGAAAGTTCATTACAATTATAAAAGTAAACTGTTTCTAGATAACGTGCGAGCAAACATAAAAAGTACAGATAAAATAAGCAAGAAAAGCTTTTCCGAAAAATATAATTATTCCAAAGTGTCACAATCCTTTGAAGAGAGAACTGATCTCATTTTACGATTCTAAGATGATCTGAGCTGCTGAAATCGAATTTGATATCTATTTTTCTCTATCAACCACAGTTTTCTCGCCAAATGGCATTGAATATTTAGTTCATATATTAGGGACTTTTTATATGATAATAAAAGTATATTTAAGTTTAAGGGTTAATTTCGATATCATCATAAATACGGGCCTTTTATACCCTAGAGTCTAGGCCCTAGACCAATTTAGTCTGTCTGTCTGTCTATCTGTCTGTCCATGTAAGCCTTGTAATCAAACTACAGGTCGCAATTTTGAAGATAATTAGATGAAATTTGGTACACACATTACTTTTGAATCAAGGACGAGCCCTATTGATTTTTGTTGATATCAGTCCATTATTTCAAATAGCCTCCAAATAATTGTGAAAAATATACGATATTAGTATACAAAATAGGCACAACTACGTTTTATCATTTCAATGAAATTCGTTATAATTAACTTTAATCTAAACACAAATCCCTCCATCAAATTTTGTTAGGATCGGTTCATAATTGACCCTAGCCCCCATATATAGCCTCCATCATAAAATAAGTTTTTCATCAAAAATATATCGAAATTAGGGAAAAATCAAATCAACATAAGTAAATGATTTATTATTAAAAATAATACACATTTTCGATATACTCGTAAATGGTGTAGGGTATCATATGGTCGGCCACGTTCGACTATACTTTTTTACTTGTTTATATTATTTTCCTAACTTTCATTAAAATTATTTGAAAACAAAATAATATTTTACGATGATTTCAAGAAAATTTCCCAATATTGCTAAGCTTGAGTTTGACCTTCAAACCAAAAATATAGTTTTCTTCGAAATTCTCAAAATTTACATCGTAGGTATCGCTAATATGTGCGAGATATCGTGCTAATTTCTTTACTATTTTATTCCTTTCTTTGTTGTCCATAAGTCATATAGAGATTATCTTAAAATTTTAAAATTTGCTTAACAAAATTGTTGAAAGTCTAAAACTAAAGCTTTGAAACTGCTATCTGAGGGGTTTTAATTTATGACTATACCCCGAATACGGGTTACACTATCTAATGAGGATAAAAACCCACATTTAAGTTAATACGAGTATGTTTAATGTAATGACATGGTTTTATTAGAATATTTCTCAGTGAAGTGTTTTGTGACACTAAATGATCGGAGGAATTTGTAATATCTTTTAAAATTTTTAACCAATTTTTGTGTTTTATATGTTATTAGAACGAAAAGTGCATTCATTATACAATTATTTGGTGTAAAAATTCAAAAAGACAAATTTGGTGCCAACATTTTTGTAAACATCGTTTTCCTCTTCAGAGCGTGGAGCAACCAGTCAATGTGGTCCTATCGCATTAATTTTTTCCAGAATGCATTTCTATAACTCCCCCCAGTAGTTCGGTCTGACAGTCCTGAACTACCTATATAACCTACCACTTAGGGTTACCCCTAGCCACCGATTATCTTCACCCTCGTTAACAAAGAGTACATCCGCGACGAAAGACGAGTTAGAGCCAACCAGGTGGTTAGACGTTTTTGGGAATCACTGTCTTTTTTGGATGTAATGTTCGGTCGGACATTCCCGAACTACCCATTTAACCTAGCACTTAGAGTTATACCTAGCCACCGACTGCCTAGGTGACTGGCTATTTTAACATGTGCCTATCCTACGATAAAATCAATCGTCACCCCATAGATTATTAATAGACAGACAAAAGCTTAAGTTTGTTCATTAAGTGTCCACTCTCTCGCTTACAAAGGGGACACTAAAGTGACGATTATCTTCCCCTCTTTTACAAAGAGTACATCCGTGACGAAAGATGAATTAGAGCCAACCAGGTGGTTAGACGTTAGTGAAAATCCCTTTATTTTTCGGATGCATTGACTCTTTGTCGAACTAAAAGTCTGGAGGCAGAGACTGCCAATATTCTACTCTATACCCACTTGAAAATCGAGATGAACACGTTTGTTATGTTGTGAATTAACTAATGTTAATAATAAATTACATTACTTTAGAAGTAATTACAGTTATACCAATTACAATTACTTCTAATTGCAAATGAAGTTTTAACAATTTCAATTACTTGTTATTGCAACTAAAATATTACCAATTACAGTTGTTTGTAATTGCAACTGAAGTATAACTTATAATTATGATGGATATTATGTATTGAAATTACAATTACTTTAACTGTAATTGTTAAAATAATAAATATGAAAGTAATCAGCATATTTGTTGCATTCCTTAATATAACTTTTTCTGAATTATGTAATTGAGTTATTTTACATTAAAATTACATAAAATTCTAATGGGCATTACTTCGATTACAAGTAATTGTAATGGATACTGAATTACCTAATGTAATCCTATACTTTAGAACTGATCTAATGGCATCAGTTTAATAAGTATAAACTTATTAAAGTATTGATATAAATATTAATATAATTGAATTACTAAGTTATTTTATCTAACAGAACCAATGACGCACGAAAACTTTTTCTCAGTAAAGATATCCAGTTAAATAAAAATATATTCGTCAATTTATGTGCATAAATAAAATACTAATAATAATTAAAACATTATCAGACGTTAACCTGGGCTAATATTATAACTTATTTATTAACAAAATAAATTGAAATATTTATTATTTATAAAAATATCTATATAAATTAATAAGTAAAAACTTACCGATGAATTCTCATCACAATTGAGCATGCCATAGAAATCCTCATTGGGATCACGTTTAAAATTTATAATCGAATCGACAGCACTCATTTTTAAGTAGAATTTAGTCTCGTTTTATTTATTTGTAAATTCAAATTCCTTTAATACACAACAATTACAATTTCCAATTGAACACTAAAATAAACAATTATTTAATTTATTTTTTTTTTATATTTTATTTGCGTTGATAATTGAAAATTTAGCAGTAAAAGAAAATAAAAACAAACAAGATTATATATATTATTATATTATTTATTTTTTTATTTATGTTTGTAGCTATATATAATCCAATTCTATTTAATCTTAATTGATTCAAAAGCACGAGTACTCCAACGACAGCTGGGAACTCGCCTGGAGGTGTAAATAAAAACATAATCCATTCTGTTTTTTATTTTTTTTTATTTTTGTGTCTATACACTTCCGACGTTGATGACAATTGATTGTGATAACAAAAATAGCAAAAAAACGACAAAATGTTTTTGAGCCTTTTTAGTTTGCACACTGGGTTGGGTGTTTGGAATATGTGGTTGCAAAAGCGAACATGTTACCTAATTTTCAAATATTTTAAGTTCTTAAACATTCATTAACTTCTTTGAACAAATCATTAATATCTAATCCCAGGTATTTGACAAAGAGTCAAAGCACACGTTAAAGACATTATTTTCCACTTAAACGAGAAGCAGTCGTCACTTTCTTGTACCCTAGGTAAACGAGAACGTAGACTGTCGTCACTTTGCTGTATCCTAGGTAAAAGAGAAAGGGGTATTTTGAAACTTGTTTGTTCTGTCAATTGTCCATTTGTCTTCAAAGAGTCAATTGGCATTCTCTTAGTACATGCCCATGTCAAAATAACTTGTCGGATGGCTAGTGGTGACCCAAATGATAGGTTAAATAACTAGTTCAGGACTGTTCCCCCAAACTGCTGGAATGTTATTTAAAAAATTTAATTTAAATGATTTATGCACCGATTAATACAAAGTGGAGGATTTTCGAAAAAAAGTGACAGGGGCCTGACACAGAATTTCATTCCGATTGAAAGTGGAAGTATTACATAAGTAGTAAATTAATTGAATAAAACTTCAAAAAAACCATAACCTTAAACAAATTTCAATTCCTTTTTAAAAATTTTAAATAGTTTAATTCCAAAAAAGTTGTCGTTCCACAATTCCACTTTAGATCGGAATGTAATTCTGTGACAGGTCCCTTAAATCAATTGTTTCTAAACAGTTATTCTGAATTTATAATGTTATGAGAAGAAATGCTATCGACCTCAAAAGCCCATTCATTATGAACAGTGTCGGAGGTCCGCATATTAGGCAACCTTGGATATGAGAACAATTAGAAGTAATCCGATTTCATTTGACACTTGGATATGAAAGACGAAACGACAGTCCATCGAATTGTTCTGCCATTCGGAGAAATCAAACTATTCAATGAATGTGTAATTAATGGGTCGTCCTTGGACAAAAATATTTAACTAAAGAGTATTCAGATTTCCCAGCTGTGATATCGAACGCGATCGACGAATGAGCTATAGAGAAATTGGAACTCTAGTGATTCACTTTTACCATTACCTAATGAACTCTGGCTCTTTCACGGAAAATAAACTTCAATCTCTCTGCCCTTGATATACATTTGTTAAGGCTATAGGCATACTTATGGATGTTCCAGGTAAGGACTTATTGGTTCGTAAATAACAGTTCCCTGCAAAAATTTCGACTACTTCTCACATGAGTGTAAAGAGTACTTTTCAAAGGACTAGGACTGATCCAAAACTAATCCGAATATATGGAAGTTACATACTCCATTTAACATTATGATGTCCTAGGTGTGGACCACATAATCCATACATGCATTATATCAGAATAATCCCAAAACTACTCCCTTCTTCAATTAATGAGAGTAAGTGATTTGCATTATGGTCCTGGACCATGTTGTTATAAAAAAAATAAACATGATCCATGCCTACTTTACATAAGACTACTAAATGGATCATGTATTCCAATAAAGTTTACAGCAGAGTAGTTTTGGGATTACCCATGTGGATCATGAACTTCAAACATTTTTGTAGGGTTATTGCAGAAGTTGTTTAGACGATATCTAGGTAAGCGCCTTTCTCATGATATGGATTGTCTCGAAAATGTCGCCACTAATAATTCTACTAAATGTTTAGTTCTATCAGGGAATGAAGGAATTAAAGAGGAATAATATTATGTTTGTCAAAATAGGCCAAATGGCCTCGTTTAAATTTCGTTAAAACTTTTTATAGGCATTCCTACTAGACACTGTGTGTTTGTACGATTGTTATATCTAGGGACTACCCTAGTAACACCTATTGCATAAGTTGTTCAGACGAGGAGGAAGAGGAATCGGTGCAATAACTTTTGTGAAGCATAGGCGTCGTTCGTGATCTGGGTTTCACCGGGTATAAAGTTTCACCGGGTATAAAGTAAGGAGGAATTATTTTAACGGTATCACAATCTAACTTAACATCCTATCTAGATATGTAAAATTTTATTAAAATCGAGTTAACCGTTTATTGGTTATTATAAGACCTTGCGCGAAGTCCGATCCGATTTCCACCAAAACTGCTAGTATTACAATTACTGTATTATCAAAATATGTATGTTTTTGTGAGTGTTCAAGTAGTATTGCAAGAAAAGAAGCTGTATTGGGGGTTAAAGAAACGAATATTGGTTCATATGGGCATTTTAAAAGTCATACAAACGGACGGGTCATAGCACATGAATTTAAAATACAAACAATTTCGGAATCTTTGATCAATATTCTTGTCTTTGACGTTTTTTAAGTTGTTAAGATAAAAATACTTGATTTAAAGGAATCAAAAAACTAATCAATTGAAATTTATTGAAATAATTAATAAAAAAAAAAAATTTCAGAAAAGTTTCACAATTATAATATGTAATTATAATTACATTGATGGCAATTCTAGAATCAATTATTTTAAACAGACATGGGGGTAATGATTACACAAAGTAATTCATTGCATGGTCAATTACAATTACTTGTAATGTGTAATTGGGCAATAACCAATTACAAATACATGTAATTGGAAATTCTTCAATTACAATTACAAGTAATTGTAATTGAAAAACTTGTATAACAATTACAAATAATTGTACTTGAAAAACTTCAGTTACAAGTAAATAATTGTAGTTAATAAAGCTTCAATGTAATTGTAATTGAAAATGTAGTCATTACCCTCCAAGCCTGATTTTAAATGAATAGATAACCAAATTTCAAAACAGTATTTCATTATTCAAACCTTTTGCTTTTTGCAAACCATATTTTAATTATAATATGTAATTATAATTACATTGATGGCAATTCTAGAATCAATTATTTTAAACAGACATGGGGGTAATGATTACACAAAGTAATTCATTGCATGGTCAATTACAATTACTTGTAATGTGTAATTGGGCAATAACCAATTACAAATACATGTAATTGGAAATTCTTCAATTACAATTACAAGTAATTGTAATTGGCAAAACTTCAATTACCATTACAAGTAATTGTAATTGAAAAACTTGTATTACAATTACAAATAATTGTACTTGAAAAACTTCAGTTACAAGTACATAATTACATAAAAAAAAAAGTACATAAAAGCTTCAATGTAATTGTAATTGAAAATGTAGTCATTACCCTCCAAGCCTGATTTTAAATGAATAGATAACCAAATTTCAAAACAGTATTTCATTATTCAAACCTTTTGCTTTTCGCAAAACATATTTTAACCAAATATTACAAACATACAGCCCAGTGTGCATTTTTTGATGATTAAAAATCAAGCTCATGATTGGAAAGAAATTTGTTTTCTTTTAAGATTATATTTGTCATTTTTTTAAAATATTAATTTTCTTTATATTTGTTGTTGTAGCGGTATCACACGCGTTTTAAATTAAATTAAAAACGACTAAAACACAAACAACGCTTCGTTATAAAAATATATTTTTTTAAGAATTTGTTTAACTTTTTTTATTTTGTTATTTGAAAAAGTAATTATGTAGTTTTGTTTCTTATTGTTTATAAACGATTTTAACGTTTTAAAACGTAATTAACAATTAATAAAAACAGTTGCAAAAAAAAAAAATACAATTTGTAAATTATTTTACAATAAAATCCAGTTTTTAAAACGAAACAATGCAATTAAATAAATATAAACAAAATGCAAATGTTTAAACAATAAAAAAATACTTTCACTTTTTATAAGTAATGAACAATTTATATTTAATAAAATAATTAATTAATGACAATTTAAACAAAAATATTTACTTCACTTTAAAATTGAACTTGGAAAAAAAGTTGCTATTTATTTAAAATAAATTTTATTTTTATTTTCGAAATAAAAATAAATCAAAAACTAAAATTTTGAAACTAAAAAACACAAATTGCCAACAGCCCGTTTGAATTTCTTATTTATATGTTAATGATTATAAGATTAAAAATTTTTTTATAAATAATTTTTTTTTTTTATTATTTTTTTATAAATATATTTTTTTTCAGTTGTTGTTGTTGCTGGCAATAAGTCAAAATTATAACTGCCACTTGTGTGTTTTCGTTCGTTGCGAGTAACGTACCGTGCTTGTATTTGAAACTCTTGGCTCTGATGAATAATCGGTCGGTTTGTTAGTTGGTTGGTTGAATGAATGAATGGATGGAAGTTGCTGCTGCACACAGAGAAACAGACAGCGAAAAAACAATCTTAATATTGACTGGATTACTAACAACAACAACTGCTTACAATCTAAACAAAAATTCAACAATACCATCAACCAACTAGTTACCTTTAGACATGCATCGTTGAAAACAACCCAACTAAACTGGAATTTGACTCACTCACAGTTCAAAAGTTGGGGGAATTTTTCTATTTAGTCTGAAATTTTACTGGTTTTTCTCTCTCTCTCTCTCTCTACATGGGCTCCATCTCATATTTTACCTCTCTTGATGTTGTGGTTGTTGTTAAACTGGAAAGTCCCATTAACCTAAAAACTCACAACTATCTCTTCATCTCATTTTATATTATTTACTGTTCCAAACAACAAGTTGTTGTTTTTTTTATTTTTATTATTCAAAACTGTTGCTTTTTCCATGACATTGTATTTGTAGTATCTCTGAAATACATATTTGTATCTCTGACTCTAAGCTTCATTGATAAAGAGCACCACAATTCATTCTGTTAAAATCTTTGTTAAAGCTATTATTTCTTGTTGTTGTTGTTGTAAGCTTTAAGTTTTTAAATTCATTTCATTTCCAGTGCACAGTGGCGTGTGTGTTGTTTTTAGTCACTTTAATACCCTGAACAACCCACAAAAACCTACGCATACAGCATGCGCATCAACTGGGTTAGCAGCTTTTACATTTTGTTTGGCCTTAACTCTATAAAAGCTTTAAAAACAGATGTGTTCATAAAGATAGTCAAACAATTGTTATATCATCAGTGGTGATAGAGGATATACATTCCGTGTATAACACCAAGAAATATTCATCTTAGACCCAACAAAGTATATGCATATATTCTGGATCCTTGTGAAATTCGATTTAGCTATGTATGTCCGTCTGTCTGTGTAAAACTAGCTCACGTTAAAACAAAGAAAATCAACCAAATTTTCCGAAACTATTTATTATTTTCATATGGAGTTTGGTATTGAAAATCAGCAAAATCGGTATACAACGTAAAATTTCAGACTAGCTCCAAAAACATTACCTTTTTTCCTAATTCTTAAGAAGATTTCTCAGAAACTACCAAAGATAATTCGATGAATTATGTCAAACGTTATTTTTTTCGCCAGAGATCCATTATATTCAAAATCATTACAATCGATCCAAAATATACTATAGCCCCCATACAAAAGTAAATATTCCCGCAAATTAATTCATTTTTAATAACTCCCTCAAATATATCGGAATCAACATAAAATATTGTATACATAAATATAATATTAACATATTACCAACGTAGATCTGTATTGGTCCACAATTGGCCATAGCTGTCCACTTCCAAAAATCACTTAAACGCCCATATTACTTTCAGAAATAAAACTATTGTGAAACTATTTTTTATTATCATATGGAGTTTGGTATTGAAAATCAGCAAAATCGGTACACAACGTAAAATTTCAGACTAACTCCAAAAACATTACCTTTTTCCTAATTCTGAAGAAGATTTCTCAGAAACTACAAAATATATTTCAATGACTTTTGTCAAACGTTATTATTTTTTCGCCAGATATCCATTATATTCAAAATCATTACAATCGATCCAAAATTTACTATAGCCCCCATACAAAAGTATATATTCCCGGAAATTAATTAATTTTTAATAACTCCCTCAAATATATCGGAATCAACATACAATTTTGTATACATAAATATAAAATTAACATATTACCAACATACATCTGTATTGGTCCACAATTGGTCATAGCTGCCATATAAGGTCCACTTCCAAAAATCACTTAAACGGCCTTATTATATTTATAAATAAAGCTATCGTGATAAAACTCGACATGAAAATGTTTTGTGTATATATAAATCGTTCTTCGAAATTTTTTCTGGATCGGCCCGAAATTAATCATATCTCCCATATAAGGTACACTTTCGAAAATGATAAATAAAGTTATCGTGATAAGATTCGACATGAATAGCTTTTGTGTATTTCTAAAGTATTCCTCTATTTTTCCGGATCAGTCCACAATTTGTCATAAGGTCCACTTCTGAAAATCACTTAAACGCACATATTTCATTGTCAAATAAAGCTATCTTGATAAAATTCGACATGAATATGTTTTGTACATATATGAATCACTCTACATAATTTTTTCAGTATAGGCCAGTAATTGGTCATAGATCCCATATAAGGCCCACTTCCAAAAATCACTTATACGCACATTTCATTGTCAAATAAAGCTAGCTTGATAAAATTCGATATGAATTTTTTTTCTGCATTTATGAACTCTACATATTTTTTTTATTATAGGCCAGTAACTGGTCATAGCTCCTATATAAGGACCACTTCCGAAAATCACTTAAACGCTCATATTTCATTAATTAATAAAGCTATCGGGGTAAAATTAGACTTGAATATGTTCTGTTTATATATAAGTATAACTCATTCTGCGAAATTCCGGATCCCTCCATAATAGCTCCGATTTAAGGACCATTTCCGAAAATGACTTAAACGCACATATTTCATTTATAAATAAAGTTATCGTGATAAAATTCGGCATGAGTATGTTTTGTGTTTTTTTTTTTTAATAATTCCTCGAAATTTCATCTGGATCAGTCCACAATTGGTCATAGCTCTCACATAAGGTCCACTTCCTAAAGTCACTCAAAAGCACACATTTCATTGATTAATAAAGCTATAGTGGTCCACAATTGTTCATAACTCTCATAACTTAAACGATCAACTTCATTGACGATCAAAGTTATCGGGATAAAATTCGATATGAATTTGTTTTTTGAATATACATTCATATACATTCATATATATTAATCATTATACATTCATATATATTAATCATTATACGGAATTTTTCCGTATTGGTCCATAATAGGTCATAGGATCGTTCCACAGTGCAAATGTCAAAAATTTGTCTTGAGTTACAAAACATTTATTTTGATACAAGGATAAGATCTAAGCTTTATTTTGAGTTACAAAGATTATAAGACTATTTACTATACAATAGGGCTAACAATAGTGAACACTACATCCCGATCGGAAGACACCGGCTTCAAAATTTTTTGTCACAAGACATGAAATCCGCTATTTTTTTACTCACTACTGTTGAAATCCATTTTCCAATAGACTTCCCAAAAAGCTGTAAATCTAATGTAAAGACCACATAATTTATCACAACAATGAAGCTTTTATAAGAAAAACAACTTTAAGCTTTTTAAAATAAAGCTAAAATGTTAAACTTAAAAATATTTAGTACTAAAAATTAATTTTCTGTAAAGACTAGCAACATTAGAAATGTTCTAAAAAAAGCTCCAAGTTCTTTTAACATGAATAGTGTTGTAAGTTGTTGAAAATTTTATTTACATCCCTTAAGCTTTAACATACTGTTGTCATTACTGTGTGTATTTTGTGACGAATGAATATTGTGTAAATTTCAGTTGAACTGTTTTGTGTGTTAAACTAAGTGAACTTAAAATATTTAATTATTTATGTAATTACTTTCTGTCATTTGTTGAACAGTTATTAAATTTGTTAAGATATTAATCACTTTAAATGTGGAAAGCCTATTTACCAAATTCATTAGAGTAATACTGGTCATAAGTAGTATTGACCAAAGAAACATTTTGAAGAGAAGGTTAATAATAATTTGTTTTAAAGTGGGAGGTATAGGGTGTATAGATTTACACCACTTAAGAAAGAAATAAATATATGTATGTATGTAGGATATTTTAAAATATATTTTTCATAACTGTTTTGAATAAATATCGATTGTTAAAAATGTTTATTTACAAGAACTTAACCGTATTACAATTTGTTTGTTATTGGCAAATTGATTAACTCCGATTTATTAGAATTTGAAAGTTTTATATTAGTGTTTGATTGGGGCCTAACAATTGTAAATCTAGATTAAAGTTTGAATTTAATTATAGACATGGTTAATTTTAAAACAGTTATTTTATTATAGATTTTCTTTTCTTCAGATTTTTTTATAAAGTTAAATTATTAATAAATTACGTTTCTAAAAATCAATAAAATCTCTCCCGCAAATAAATCCCATTAGAATAATATTTCAAACAAAACAATTATAATAAAATATAAGTTCATAAACACTTGAGAAAACCAAATGGTAAAAATGAAGAAAACTAATAGATGTAGAGAAAAATTAAATTTTGCAGTTTTATTATACTCTACACGGGTATTATGCGTTTGTACTGATGTTTGTAACACCCAAAAATATTGGTCCTACACCCATCTTGAAGTATATCAATCGGCTCAGAATCACTTTCTGAGTCGATTTAGCTATGTCAGTCCGTGTCTGTCCGTCTCTGTGTCCATGTAATTTAATGAAATTTGGCACATACTCTTCTTATGACCCAAGGACTCTTCTAATGACCCAAGGACTATTGAAAATGGTTAAAAAATAATCAAAATTTTTAACGTAATCACTTTTTTTATATTGTTTTTGTCATTCGGTTTGTAACACATCGAAATATTCATCTAAGACCCATATTCTGGATCCCTATTAAAATCTAAGACGATCTAGCTATGTCCGTCTGTCTGTCCGTCTGTTGAAAACACGATAGAGTCTAAACGGAAGAAGCTAGCTAGCTGAAATTTTGCCAAATATTTTATATTAATGCAGTTTGTTTGGTATTGAAAATGAGCAATATCGGTCAACGATTTCGTCTAGCTCCCATATAAGGTCCTCTTCAGAAAATGACGTTAACGCTCATAACTGACTAAAAGAAACATCTATAGCGATGAAATTCGACATGAACATATTTTATAGGAACCTTAATATCATTTAAAATTTTATAAGGATCGGTCCATAATTTACCCTATCCCCCATATAAGGTCCCCATCAGAAAATTACAATTGACTAAAAGAAGCATCTATAGCGATGAAATTCGACATAAACATATTTTATAGGAATCTTAATATCATTGTAAAATTTTATAAGGATCGGTCCATAACTGGCCCTATCCCCCATATAAGGTCCCCCTCAGAAAATGACATAAACGCTCATAACTGATTAAAAGAAACAGCTATATCGATAAAATTCGACATAGACATATTTTATAGGAACTTTAATATTTTTGTAAAATTTTATAAGGTTCGGTCCATAATT